ATGTTGGTGCACCACTGACGGACTGCTGAGGGATGGACCAGAACATTTTCAGAACCAGCAATCTGTGTGAGCCCTGCCTCTCTTGATCCATGTCTGTCACCCCTCAGTCCTACTCTGGCTACAGAGCTTTGATGGAGAACATGATCTTCTGCATGGCTCTGCATACCTGATGAGCTTCTCTACACTGAGAAGACACTGACTGTGTCATTAAAGACATCTGAACAGAAACAACAAGGTAAGCTGACATGTTGTAAAGAAAACTCTCTTGTTAACGTTAACGTGATAGACTCTGCCTCAGTAATGGTTGTGATTTGAACTGGATTCATTCTTCTCCTCGGTTCACGCTTTACTTGGCCAACCTTTAACCTTCTGAGAAATGACAGAGGATCATCTGATATCCGATCAGGCCTCGGTAACAGATGAGAGAGCTGCTACTGCTCTCTTCTAAAACTCAGTTCCAGGTGTTTGAGGATGTGAAGCTGTGGTAGGTATGATGTCAGAATGATGCTGATTAACTTAGAATAATGTCTGTTCTACTCAGGCTTGGTTCTTGCTGACTGCTCCATCATTTTAAGTTTGCTGTTTTTTGTCACGCGTTTCTGTTTTTCTGTATCTTCATCACATGGCTCATGCATACAGTTAGGATACTGGAGAGACCATCCATCAGCAGAGGTGGAGGTCTGAGGCATCACCTGTCACCTGTTTACAGCTCAGTCCTCAGATCTCTCCCCAGGAAGATGAACCCACATCCACACCTAGCCACAGAGACCCTAACGAACCCCACTGTGTCAGGGGGAGCACTAACGACCCACATAACGAGGGGGAGGAGCAACAAACCCCCAATTAAAACCCAAACTCAGGTGTTAACGTCTCCTTCAGGATATCAGTATGTGGAACTCCCAACCAGTCAGTCAGAGCTGATGAAGCCTCTTGGATGAAGGTGGAACATCTTCAAGGAACTCAAGCAGGTCCAGCTGCTACCATTAATCCACCAGAAGAACCATGAGCTGGAGGACTGAGGATCTTCACAGACTTGTTCAACTTATGGATAAAATGCAGAACTACCATAAACCAAACAGAAGACTGAACCAAACCCTCCGTGAGTCCTGGTCCGGACCTCGCCGATCCACTTCACCTCGTGTTCGCTCTTCTTTCCTACTTCTGTTGTTTTCTTCCACTTCTGGTGTTTCTTGTTTGCCCCCAGTGTGTGTGTGTGTGTGTGTGTGTGTGTGTGTGTCCTGACACAGCTGAGGTTCATCTGTCAATCAGCACCTGGT